TCCCTAATGGTTTATTTTGTAACCCGGGAAACGGCTCACCTGGTCTGGTTTCCTTACATGTAAAATGAGGTGATGGCTCCTGCTTTGCCGGAGCCCCGGGGAGATCATTTCAAGATGGTGCCCGTGGGGAAACCGTGTGCAGGTGGAAAGGGCGCCCGTCATTCTCCACGGACACTGCTGTTTGCATGTGATGAACTAGCTGTTCTCGGAGGTGAGAACACTCAAACATGGAAGTGAGGTCACCATGACGGTGGCAGACACAGACCACGAGGCCCCCGTGACTGCTGGAGTGTCCCAGACGCCTCCACTCCCCAGAAGCCACTGGGGAGAGACACGTGTGTGCAGGCACAGTCCCCCTCCCCCCATGGGCCTCTGTTGAGCCTGCCTCGTGGTTAATGTCCAGCACGCTGCAGGCCCAGGCCGGCTGCACGGGGCGGGGGTCCGTGGTATGGACTCACGATGTCCCACGGTCCCCTGTGGCCCCGTGGCACCCTGGGGGAAACGTGGGTGAGTCAGGGGTCCCTCAGCCTCAGAGGAGACTTCCCACTTACCTCCAAATCCACCGGAGGGGGTGGGTCCAAAGGGACCCTCCATCAGAGGTCTCTACTGGCTTTGAGAATAGAAACGGTTAATTATCTCTCCTTGGGGTTAATGCATTTCCCACAGCTGGCCCTTCTCCCCAGCAGGAACCCGAAGACTGTTCTCACCAGCCCCCCGAGGTCACTTCTCTTTCCTTGGGATGGGCCCCAAGAGTTCCCAGTATTGAGGTGACTCTTCGAACCCCCAGACTGGGAGAAAGGCAGGGGTTACTTCATGCTGTGGATGGAGAGACTGAGTGCAAGGGGGGTCAAGAGCTGCTGAGCTGGAATCGGATTGGATGTAGCTTCCTGGATGGAGATACTGGTGTCTTTCTCATATCCTTTTGATAACACTTCGACTTCTTGGCTGTTCATTTTAATTTTGAATGTATTTTAAAAAGCCTAGCGCCTTATCCCGTGTAATCAGCGTCTGCTGATCGGAGGACAGGCACAGCTCCAGCAGACCTGCACCCCCCCCCCCCCCCCACTGCTGTGCGGATCCCACACGGGCAGCAAACAACCACTTGTCAGGTGACGGGAGTGGCAATTTTCAGCAGAGACGCCTTCCCTCCGTCCACACCTGCAGGCCGCCCTCCCAGCCCCCCAGCCCCTCTCCTCTCAGCCTGGCCTGGAGGAAAACCGAACGCAGGCCACTTGAGAGCACTTCAGATCACGGAGTGGCGTGATCAATATGTGGACGGCACGGAAAGTTCCGGGCACCCTCCTCCCTCTGTCAGCAAAACACCTCACGGCCTGGGGGCCTCGGGGCCTCTGCCATCACAGCTGGTACATTTCCCTCCGTAAACCTGTTCTCTGCTCCTCCAGGGAGAGTTTTATGCAGTCTGGGGAGAGGCCCAGAGCAAGGACTCCTTGAACCTGCCAGAGCAGACCCCACAAGTGGCCCCCGGGGGAGGCTCAGAGCAAGTATTCCCGCGGCCAAACAGTCTAGACGGTGACCCGATCATGTGTGAGAGCTGGGGATCCACGGGCACTGCAAGCCCAGGCTGTTAGAAGATGCAGACTCCACGGGAGCACCTGTCCCGGGGAGTCTGGGGGTCGGGGCTCTGACCTGGGAGCACCTGTCCCGGGGAGTCTGGGGGTCGGGGCTGTGACGCGGGAGCACCTGTCCCGAGGAGTCTGGGGGTCGGGGCTGTGACGCGGGAGCACCTGTCCCGGGGAGTCTGGGGCTCAGGGCTGTGACGTGGGAGCACCTGCCCTGGGGAGTCTGGGGGTCGGAGCTGTGACACGGGAGCACCTGCCCCAGGGAGTCTGGGGGTGGGCGCTGTGACACAGGGTATCAAAACGATCCTTACCGGCTTCAGAGAGCCAGTCACAGAGAGCCGTGCAAGACCATTACCTCCAAAGCCAGATTGGGAGCAGGTGGTTTTTACCAAGATCAACTATTTTCAGTAAAAGAAAGGTTTCCATGCTTTCTCGAGATAATGAGGAGTAAACCTCAATAAGGCAGCTTGCACCTGACGTCAGCTGGGCGACCCGCGGCCGGTGGTCGGCTCCCAGCGCACTTTCCACGGCACGTGTACTGGGGGCGGAGGAGTCACCCACACGCGTCCTGCGTCACGGGTGCCGTGGCCTGCGGGAGCCACCACAGGGAAACATGGAGTCTGTCGTGCAGAGCGAGACCCCACCCCCTTGTCGCCCTGCACGGCCCCTTCAGGCCTGGCTTGGCTGCGGCAGAAGGCAGCCATCCGCTCATCTCTAGCGACAAAGTCAGACTCCTCTGTAAGTAAACAGGCGGGGTCCAGGGCCGTCACCCAAGAGCGAGACTCGTCCCGAGTCGGAGTCCTTCCACCCTCAGGCCTACTTTGGGCTGGGTCTCCACGGGGATGCAGGAGGGTGGGCTTGGCTCACTTCTGTTCTCCGCGTCCCTCACGCAGCAAGGAGCACAGGCCTGGGGTCCTGCCTTCAGCAGCTCCTTCAGTGCTGCTCTCTGAGGGCTCCGCAGGCTCACCGGAGGGTGGCCTCCTTCCGTCTCCTGGCTCCCGGGGACACCCGCCCTCCGTGGGCCCTCCTGTCCTCCATGGTCCCCCTACCCACGTGTCTCTGGCCCGTCTAGACACCCCCCTCCCACACCCAGACCTGGTGCACGCCCAGCTGCCGGTGGGAGGGGGGACCCGCTCCTCAGAGGCCTTCAGGACAAGCCCTCTCTGGTCCCGAGCACAGTTGGTGGGTGGTCGGATTGAGGGGCCATCGAGAACGCAGATGGGGATCCCTGGAGTCTGAGGTCTTGTTATAGGCAGGAGCTCCTGGGCTGGGTGCAGGGAGCAGAGTATCTGGAAAGTGTGACCTTGATCTAATGGAATCGTCCACACGTGCTTCTGACTGGTTCCGGCAGAGGAAGAAAACATGGCTGAAGTTGCCGGATGTTTAGATCGTGAGTCTTCCCACACAAATGGTCTCCAGGGAGCAGAGGAGGGAGGGGCAGCCGCAGGAGGAGGCGTCGATGGAAGGGGCCTTGGCGTTGACGCTGGTGCGTCAGGCATCGTTAATGTGGGGACAAGGCTTCCCGCATACGACATAAAACACTGAGGGAAGCGGTGCTGTGATTTCAGGGTGAAAACCCGTCTTCCTGAGGCACCGGTAACCTGAGTCCTGCTTCTTCCCCTCTGCTTTCTCAGGCCGTGTTTTGCTGCCGCGTCTGTCTTTCCCCCTGTTTAGCACCCCCACCCCCCATCCCCGCCTCTGCATGGACGTGAGGCCCCATCACCTCCCGGGCTGTAGGGCTGCGGGTGGGTGGCAGGAGCCCGCGCCCAGGCTCCGCACTGCTCCTCACACCTGGACGAGAATGGGTTTTGGGGAGTGACTCCTAACAGGTTCCGGACATGCTGGCATAGACCCGGGGCTCTGCTTGTCTCCATGAGCAAAAATAAATTGTGTCCACTGCCCATGTGGTTAGAACGTTCTTGACTTTGGTTTGGTCACACAGCTCAGCAAAAGCTGGACGGCTCCTTCCCCAGGGCTGACTGCGGATGGACCCTTATTTGGGGCTGCCAGGCCCTCACGCATGTCCCCCGGGGGTGGTCACGGCCACCCCAGGGCCCGGTGGTCAGCGCTGACCACCCCTGGGCGTGGGGACAGGCTTCCTGGCAGGTTTCCCGGCAGGACTCGGGTCTGCAGCCCCCAGGGTCCCAGGTGTAGACGCCGGCCCCACGTGGGGTCCCCGCCTGTGTGTCCCCTTCCCACGGCCTCCTTGCCAGGATCAGCGGCGGCAGAAGAAGCTGAAGTTTGCAGCAGGTTAAGGAAGGTGGGATGGAGGTGCCTGGCCTCCCCTGGCCCCCAGCTCTGCCCTGTCCTGATCTGCCCTGTGAGCGCAGGACCTTCCCTGCCCCCACCGTGTGAGCGTGTGTGTGAGTGTGCGCGCACATGTGCATGCACACATACGTGTGTAAAGCGGTGCTGATTGCCAGCCAGGGAATGACCAGCCCAAGGCCTTCCTAACTGTGCTGGACAGACAGCAGCCCCAGAGGCCTGACCTTCACACCCGTTCCAGGGTGTATCTGCTAGGTTGGTGTGTGGTTAGATGGCTGGGGATTTTTAAAATTCGTGGGGCGCCTGTGGGGCTCAGTCGGTTCAGCGGCCAATGTCTGCTCAGGTCATGATCTCACAATTCGTGGATTCGAGCCCCACGTTGGGCTCTGTGCTGACAGCTCGGAGCCTGGAGCTGCTTCCGATTCTGGGTCTCCCCCTCTCTCTGCCCCTCCCCCGCTGGCTCTCTGTTTCTGTCTCAAAAATAAATAAACGTTAAAATAAAAAAAAAATCCTTAGTATTAAAACAGTGGTTAATCTTGCTGTGTTTCACTGTTTCCTGCTTGTAAACATCTGAGGGTTGAGTGGACATTTTAGAAGAGGATGGAACCTAATCTTCGTTCTTATATCCGGAACCCGTGATTTTGCCATTTCCCCTCCCTCACCTCGAGCCGTGTGGGTCGGAAAACCAGTGCCCACGTTGGCCCACGTGTACTTTGGGAACTTAGGGTCCACGTGTGGGAACTGACTATTGTGGGCCCCGCTCGTCCCCTGGTCAGGATGGGGGCCGAGGTGGCCCATGGTGGCCACCAGCCCCCGAAGCCCAAGAAAGCCTGGTCCTTCTGCCCCACGTCAGCCCATTTCCTCCTCAGGGAGGCCTTCAGTCTGCCATGTCATGGCCATCAACCCACACCTCACGTGGCCTGGTCCGCGACTGTGGCGGGTGGTGCCGTGGCCGGTACGCAGGCTTTGATAGGGTTGCCAGGGGACCTCAGTGTCATTGGAGGGACGGTGTCACGAGGCCGCAGTCAGGGCCCTTCTGTGGGAGGCCCACCGAGTGCAGCCCGTGTGAATTTCCAAGGCCACGTTTTGTCCCCGTGTGTTTTCCAGAGTGATGTGACAGGTGGAATGCTAATGACAACTGTTTTGGTCCAACAGATAAAAGCAGAGAGCGTGGCCGAGCGCCCGGCCCTCCCGGCCTGATGCTGCACGCAGACAGGAAGAGCCGGGCTGGGGACGGAGAGGACAAGGTTGGTGTCTGGACTCTGCTTGTGACAGGCCCGAACCCCGGGCCAGGTGTCCTGGGCCCAGAGCGCCCCTCGGGCCCAACCCAGCTCCCTCCCCCATCCCTTGTGCACTGACGCTTTGGGGTCTTCTCTGGGAAACAGAGCCAAATCCAGCAGGAGTGTGGATTCCAGACCACAGATGGGGGCGGGGGTCCGGCTTTGGTAAAAGCCCCCGCGGGCCCTGGCTCCAGGCCTTGCAGGGCGGGGCTCTGCTCGGTAACCTGGGCCTCCCGTGTGTGCTGCGCCCGCTTTCGGGAGAGGGCGGGGCGGGCCTGGCTGTGGGTCCACAGACACCCCCAGGCAAGGCCAGAGCCTGGTTTGGGAGTTTTTAAATTCCTGGGCGTCAAACCCCACACACATTTGTTTTTTCTCCACACTTTCCAGTCTTAGGCCCTTCTCTCTGCCTTTCTGCCAAATGGCACCTTAGGGACTGCCCGAGGGTGCGTTCGGCACATTCACCTTCCCGTGGAAGATCCCAGGGGTCAGCTGTCGGAGCCACCGTGAAAATCACAAATGGCACTTCATTCTCTCCAACCTGTCAAGCCTCCTGGGGCCTGTGGTCGCCCCAGAGTCTCCAGAGGGTTCCGGCCTCACTTCCGTGGGGTGCGTCTCTGCTCCCGCAGGCCGCGCGTGCTGATAGTTCCCCCGTTAGGGATGGCCACGGCCACGATCACGGGCTCCTCTTCCCATCCTCACGGCCAAGGCTACAGGGCGTAAGGGGTCACAAATGTTAGTGCAGATGAGACTTTTGCTCCCTGATGTAGGATTTCTCTGTAAGAGATTAACACCCGTGCCAGAATTACATATTTAGTAAACAAATATCCTTTCTAGTGCCTTAACTACTTTTTTATCACTGGGCTCCACGCCTCTAACTCAGTTTTATTACTTTCACATGGAAAGGGAGTTTTATGCCATGATTAGCCATTTTTATCAGCAACAGGAAATCATAACCAGCGTGTGCGCCACGGAGGACCCTGGTAATTAGCAGTAGAGAATCCCAGTTTTGCCAAATTTGAATGTTAGCCCCCATCACAAATCACGCCCCGCCAAATCTGCGTGAGTAATTAGCGGGGGTAATCTACTGCTCAGAGGCTCTCGTTGGGTTTCTACTGTTCATTTAGCTCCATAATGAAAATCTCCCCTCGTTTTTCTAATTGGATTGGTAATGGAAATGCTCGTCTCAATATATATATATATATATTATGCTCATTATTTATCCTGGGCTTTTTTTTCTCACAGTAGACCTTCTACTACCCGGAAGGTCTAAAAGAAATTATTCTTAAACTTTAGAACTTAAGGATAATTATATAAATTAAACCTCATTTATTCCGTGAAATGTTCTGTGCCCGTGAGTGAAGGGCCTCAGGGGAAACACACGTAGGAAGGAGGTGGCCCGACCCCTGGTCTCCTGGGTGGGCATCGCTGGTTGTAGGGGGCATGCCTTTCCCTCTGGCCTCAGCCCGAGACCACGCGGGGGCCCTTCCGGGGGGACATTTTCATCTCACGACTTGTGTCCTTCCTCTCGACCGGCTCTGCTCACACTGGCCATCCACCCCCGGCCACACGGGCCCTTCCGTCCCCAGCTCGTGGGCTGGCAAGTGGCAACGGGGTGGCCCCATAGATGCCACATTTCCTTGCGTGGGACTTACTGCAGTCTGGGCTTCAGAGATGCTGGGGCTCTCGCAGATTTTTGTCTGGATCTCGCATTCCAGAATTTAGCGTTTGCCTTTCCAGCACCTCTGTGTGAAGGGAGGATGACATGATGGACAGGGGGTGCAGCCCTCGGGGCCCTGGATCAGCGCGTGGGCTTCTGTGCACGGCCCACCCTGCTGGCCGGCTCTGCCGTGTGGCCGCCCTGAGCCTTCCCGGCCTACTGCCTACGCAGGCGGTTAATCATCTCACTTACAGTGTCTCATCCCATAACATCCTGGCATGAATACAGGTGGGAATAGAGATTCTGGAATTTTAGGATGGCCTTCTTCTTTTTTTTATATTCAATGAATCTAGAGCTTTAATTGCTGACACTCTCCTCTGAGAGCCTGATTGTTGCTTTGAGTAGCGTTCTGGGTATTTTTTAATGTCATCCAATGTTCTAAGAGAAAGAGAGCACGATGTTATTAGCGGGAGAAGGAGAAAATGTCCTTCCCGCACAGGGACGGCGCCCGCGCTCACTGAGATTCCACTCTTCCTGTCCACGGCTCCAGAGTGGAGATGGCACGTCTTAAAAGATTCCTCCTTGTGCTTTCGTGGCTCTACCCTAGGGACCCGGTTCTGCTTTCCCCGTTGGACGAAAGTCCAATGTTCTTCACCCGTGAACGCAGCTAACGCTTAATCCAAGGCTGCGCTCAGCTTCCCTGTGGGTGCTATAATCGCCCCGTATTTTCTGTATTTTCTACCCTCAAGCAGCCTCTGTTTCACTCCAAACTGCATCCATAATGAACAATGAGCAAATGTCCTGGCCATGGTTTTTTTTTTTTTCCTTTTTAATATTAGAGAATACATCTTCATTTTCTTCTAGGTGGTGTAATGTTCAAACATTCTTTATTTTCTAAATAGGGACACAGACCCAGAGTGATGTTCAAACCCAGCTCTGCACCAGAATCCCCTGCACCTTGGAACCCCCCCAACTCTGCCCCCAGCCAGTGCTCGGGGAGGGGAGACATCAGCAGAGGCTGCAAGGACGTGGGCTTGTGTGTCCCCTGCCCCCGTCTTTAGGGGCCCGGGCAGGTCCAGCTGGACCCAGGCCTCCTCACAGCTTGTAGACCCTCCTCCAGAGTGCACAGTTTTGGGAGCACCGGACTCCAGCCTCTGGGTCGGCCCATTGCTGGAGATGAATCCTCCGTGATTGATATTCCGCCCGTGAGATGTTAAGGCCTCCGGAAGCCACCTCTGGGCGGCGGCTGCCTGTCTCTATATCTGCAAAAGCAGATAGTTTGGCCAATTTGGGGTAATTAGGGAGATGCCTTTGTCTGGGTTCCTCAGCACAGTCTGTTGTGCCTTAAATTCCGTATTCTCAGCATAATTGCTCGGTCCCATTTGCTTAGCTGTACTGAGCGGGTCATTATCCAGTGGGTGCTGGAGGCATGGCTGTCTGCAGGGGACGTGTTACTTTTCACTTGGTTGCCTAATTGAAGATGAGTGTTTAAATTAAAAAAAAGTGCTATCCTTCTCTTTCTGTTGAAAGGAGTCTCCATCCATACTAGTCACGAGAGAGGACAGCGCAGAGAAGGGCAACAGACCTGTGGCCTCTACCCCGGTGCCCGGATCTCCCTGGTAAGATGTCCCGCCATGTGGGAGCGGCGACAGGCAGCCTTGTCCTGAACCCCCACCCCCTTCTGTTGGCACCAAAGACAAAGGGCATGTTCCTTACGTAATGCTGTGCTTGAAGTATTAATTTGCGGCCCGGGGCAGTACAGCATCGCCTGGTCGCCACATTCTGCAGCAGGAAAAGTAGCGTTTAGGTGATAAGTTACCCAGCTCCCGTGCGTCGGCAAATCTGTATTAAAATAATAAGCTGTTGCATACATATCAGGGAAGGATGGCGTCTGAAGAAAATGTAGCCCCTTATGCTTCAAAGAGCTTTTTTTCCCCTCTCCTGCAAGAAAATAGTAACTGAATGGCTGTTAATTAAAGACGTGTCTGGCTTTCTCCAGTGGCCCTGTGAGGATTCCGGATCTCTGAGTACGCCGTGCTCAGAGTACCCTCCACGAGGGAGCCACTGTCTTTGGTTTTTAAAAATGTCCTTTAATAATGGAGTCATTTGGAAGCAGAAGAAAAAGGTTATTATAATAAAACTTAGTTTTAAAATGTGAAGATTAGAAGGCAGGACAGAGCTGGAGGGATTCAGACGGCAGCGTCCCGTGTCGCTTCCCGTGCATTCTGGGTGGGAGCAGCCGCCTGCTGCTGGCTGCCGTCTGAGCTCAGCCTTGCGTGGTGACCTGGTGAGCAGCAAGCCCCGATCACCCGTTTGTGGTGGTGAATAATGGTCTGAACTGGAGTGACGTGGCACCCCTTCCTTCTCTGCATGGTCAGTGGTCAGCACCCTCCTCCCAGCTCCTGTCGTCAGCTGAGGCCACTCCGCACCCTGAAAATGCCTCTTGGGGAAGAGCCTCCTTCTGCTAACACACTCTTCATGCCCGGTTCTCCAGTGGCCCCGACACTTAGGGAGTGTCCTACGGTTCAATTCAGTTCCAGCACCGGCTCAGAGTTGCGCAGACCCCACCGGCTGAGGGCTGTGTCCCCAGTGCTGCCCTCTTGTCAGATCCGGACACAAATCGGGTCCCGGGCCACCTGCACTTTGGTCCAGCTGATTGCAAATTCAGGGGTTCCCACAACCTCCCCTCAGCTCTGATAGTTTGTAGAATGACTCATGGAGCCCAGGAAAAAGGTTTACTCGTGGTTATAGTCTGATGAAGGATACAACCCGGACCAGCGGACGGAAGGGACCCCGTGGCTGAGCTGTGGGGGGAGGTCTGGGAGCACCCGTGCCCCGGGAAGCACCACTGTCAGGATGGGAGCGTCTACGATCAGGAGGCTCCCCGAACCCTGTGGTTCACGGTACTTTCTGGAAGGTTCAGTACGAAGGCATGGCTGATTGTGTCACCGGCCAGGGGACTGGACTGAATCCGCAGCCCGTCCCTCCCTGGCCATTGGGGGTGGAGCAGAAGGACCAGCCTTTCTGGAGACGGGGACCAGCCGGGCCCCAGGAGTCACCACATCCGCAGGGACCAGCGGTGGTCAGAGGGGCTTCCAGTGAACACACAGCAAGACGTTCGGGTCACTCAGCAAATTCCAAGGGGTTTAGTTGCTTGGTGCCAGGAGTCTAGTGAAGGATGCAGACCGAGTATTTATTTCTTACCATGCCTTGCACGCTGCTGGGGGCCTTCTATGTGCAAACCCTCTCTGGTGAGTCCCTAAGGCAGGCATACTTCACAAGTCGTATTTGGGCGCTGGGGTCAATTCAGCACCGGTGAGTGGCCCTGTCACGCTGAGTTTGGGATGCTGCCCTTGGAGGTTCATAATTAGGTAGAATATGTGACCTTGAGCACTGGAAGTTTCTAATTGTGAAGCCATGGTCTTACTTCCTTGATAAGAGAGGAGTGCAAAGTGCTAAGCGGGCTCGGGGAAATCACGGTCCATAGCTGTCGCTTGCTGCAGTGTGGGTGCTCGGCCCATGTTATACCTCGGCCCCCCGGGCGCTTCCTGGACCCCCAGCCAGTGGCCCGCAGTGGAGCCTGAGCCCTGCGTCTTCTCGCGGACTCGCAGCAGGACGGGGAGGGCGGGCCTGGAGAACGCCGGCCGGGCGGCAGCGGGTCACCCTGTGCGCGTGCACAGACGGGCTGCAGGACACGCGTTTGCCCTTCCTCAGTGAGAATGACGCTTGCTGGCTGGAACTTGTGTTATGTCGCTGACGTGACAGGGGCTGCGCCTCCTCTGTGCCCCCCATCTTGTGCTTTTCTGACGTGTCCCGTGAAGGAGGGCTTCTGGCCTTCTGTGCACAGCTGTTGGGTTAGGGGTGTGAGTGTTGATGGACCCCCCTCCACACCTCAGGGCTGGGTTTGCACGTCCCCTGCAAATGGGGATGGACCCTTGACCTTGCCAGATGAAGGACCCCCACTCTCTCACTCTTCAGCTGGGAGGCGGCTTCCCGAGCGGTGTGTTCTGACATCCTCACTAGTCTTGGCGTCGTGCGTGTGGGACCCTCCGTGACGGCACACTTTGCTGATGCTGCCATCTGTCACCAGGAGCCGCGCCCTCCCACCTGGAGAGGGCAGAACTCCTCTAGGGGGTTCCTCGCTGGTGGAACCCAAGCCATCCACTGCCAGCCTCGTCCTGGGGCTTCGTTGGTAGTCACCGTTTCTAAAGGGTCAGCCGGGTTCTCGGGCAGTCGGGGGCAGAGGCAGCCACGGCAGGTGTAGGGCCCTGGCTCCGTCACCCATCATGCTCGCCAGCCTCCTGTGTGTCTGGGCATTTGAATCTGCTCATGGCACATTGAGGACACCTTCACACGATGGAATATTCCAGGAGGGATTGATGTGAGGTGTTTCATGTGGAAGTCAAGGGGGGGATGCCACGGGGTCCCTTGGAGGTGAGCAGTGGGGGCGGGGGGTGTTGGCGTGTCTGGCAGGTGCTGTCAGGTGACCCAGCAGTGGGGCAGGACCCCCGAGAAGATCTGTGCTCTCATAAGTGGGTCTCCTCTCAAGTCCAATGCCCGGGGCTCCTTGCTCAAGTCTTGGGGAATCTCATTCCGAAAGGCACACCCTCTCCAAGGTGGTTCCCTGGGTCAAGAGGCCCCCTTCCTGCCTTGGGGAGCAGACCCTTCCTCCAGAGGGAAGGGTGAGGGGTCAGGCTGCCAGCTCTGGTCAGATCTGAGAATTATACGTCATCTATGGAACCTGAGCCTCAATCTCCAACCAACATTCTCCAGAGAAAACCTAGGATTTCTAGAAGATTCTCAAAGACCCAGGTGGGTGGTGCAAGCCAAACGGGCTTGGGAAGGACTCCTCTTGACCATCACAGAACTTGGAGGGGAGGGGAAGACAGCTGGAATCACAAAAAGAAGTCAGAATGTTTGGGATCCACTTAAAACATGTGAAATGGAAATCCAAGTGTTCTTCCTCTGTTACCTTGTTCACTGTGGACACATTTTTAGCAAGTTGGAGCTGAGGAATTGAAGGTGTGGGAGGAAGAAGGCAGGGTCAGCAAAGACCTGCTGGTGCGGACGCTGGTCTGGAAGTGAGAGTGAAGAAGGCGCCATTTCTCTCCTTGGGGCAGGAGGGCTCAGCAGTGTGAATGGGGCACCAGGTAAACAGCCTCCTTGATGGTCCCCCCGGCCATGATTCTGCCCTTCTCGCTGCCATGGCCCGGGTGTGCAGCCTCCTTAAAACACTGGCGTCACACTGAGCACTTGAGAAAGGCCGCGTCAGTGTCTCGACACCGAGTGGACACGGGGTCGAGCAGTGTGTGCCAGCTCAACGGTCGGACGAGGTTCCAGAAAAATCTCTCCGGGCGACTCTGCCCTCCCGAGGCTCATTGAGCTTAATGTCCGTGGGGAGTTTTAAGGATGCCGTAGTGGAAGCGTGAGATTTTAAGGAGAAGCAAGAAAATAAAGATAACATGTGAACTTTCATAAAAAGTGACATCCCATCCGCCTCGCAGTGGGAGCCAGTGCCAGAGAGAGAGACACAGCGTCATCTGAGAGGCTCTCTCAGGTCTGCTCCTGTTTCCGGGTGTGTTAATTCTAGAACAGCCTTCTTTCGTCTCTCACGGATTTCTTTCTCCACTTCTCCTCCTCCTCCTTTTTTACAATTTGGGTTTCAACCCACAGAGCAATTCTGGGACAACTAAGCTACTCTGTTCATTGGAAAACAATTAAAACATAGTCTTTGGAATTGTCAAAGACATGGAAAAAATCAAAAGTAATTATTAAACAAAGTGTAAAATTCATGAGCTTTTCACTTAAATGACAATAACTGCCAATGCCGATAATTAACATTTTAAAATTCTTTAAAAGACTATGGACTTACAAGTAATTCACTATTTTGGTACAATTTAAGTAAACGAACATTGGTTTTGAAAGAGTACCATTTTCCAAAAAGTCGAGGTTGACGGAGTGCAGGTTTCATGCTGGCAGTGCCGCCACGGCAGAACCGGAGGGAGAGGTGGCTGTGCTCACAGACTGGGGGGCGCACCCCCAGGACGCCGGCGCTGCCAGCAGGTGCCACGGCGGCAAGGCGTCCGTGCGGCTCCTGTGAGGACGGCGGCGGCCTTGCCGGAGGTGCGTGGCTCGTGGCCGTGGTGCGGGCTCGTGCAGGAGTCCCAGTGTGGCCACGGGGAAGCCGCTGGCTGGTGGTGGCCTTCGGCCGTGGAGCGGGAGGCCAGGCAATACGACAGGTCCCCGGAGGCAGTGGGAGACGTGCGTGGGGACCCCGTGTGTGTGTCAGGCTCGGGCGGCCCCCCCGGAGCAGGTGACGGAGCCACGGCATCCGGGACGCTCCTCCCGGCCTCACGTAACACCACGCTTTGTATTCTGACTGAATCATATTTTAGCCCCTACTGGTGGTGACTTTTTAATTCACTCATAGCTAGTAACTTACTGAGTGTAGTGTTTTAAAAGTAGGTTCTCTAGGTTTTTCTAAATATGGGTAGTCGATACATTTGGATTTAAAAGAATTCATATAAAAGACATGTTCTTGGGTGAAGTTGGTAGAGCTTTTCCAGAAAGAAAAGCACCTTTCCGTAAGCATTCCACGGACGGATCGTGTTTGACGGGA